TTTTTTTTTATGATATATGTGTCTGACTTTTATAAGTAGAAAAAAAAAAAAGACAAAAAAGACAAAACTTCCATTGGTCTAGACCAGTCATCTCTGGTCTAGACATCTGACAGGTGGGGAAACTGAGGTGCTGAGTGCCTTATCTGAGGTTTGCTGAGCTGACGCTGTCCCTGCCTTCCTACTGGGTAGGGGTTCTGCATAAGGAGCCGAGCCAGCACGGCAGAGTTGCTGAGTGCAGCCTGGTGCCCGTGGGTGTGGCAGAGTGTAGAGCCGTGGGGACCCCTGCCTGTTCCTGTCCCATGCTGGACACCTCCATTCTTCTTGAGGTGTCCTGGCCCACCTGCCTCTGGATGGCTGAGGACTGAATATATACACACAGCAGAGCACACAGCAGGCACCCGGCTCTCCTGCTCTTGCTTTGTCCTTGCAAAGCCTGTGACCTGGAGCAAATCACAAAATTTCAGAGAGCCTCAGGTTCCTCACCTGCTTCCCAGGGAGGCTGAGAAACTCTGAGGAGGTAATAAGTGAGGAGCTTTGTCCACTGTGCAGTGATACACACAGACAGCCACGATTATTCTTTATTTGATTTTTATTACCTGGAACCGTAGTGAGTTCAGTTCTTAGACTCTAGGGGATAAAGAAATGATTTCCCTTGAAGGGAATGAGAGACCCCAGTGCTCAGGAAGGGTTGTTGCAGAGCCTGAAAATTGTTTGCCAGAGCCTTTGCTCTTCTGGGTCTGAGTGCCTAAAAGAATCTGGGGCGGCCCAGGCCAAGGGAGAAGGCTGTGCTAGGCTATGGGCCCACAGAATGCTTTTCTAAGGGGCCTCCTTCGACTCTCATGCCTCAAGAGATCAAGAGGAAAGCTGGGAGAGCACTGACCACAGAAGGCAGACCAGACTGAGTCCCAGACTTGATCTGGTGGCACTGCAACCTTCTGGAGGAGGGGGTTCTTATTGGATTATAGGTGGCACAAGGAGCCTTTTTTTTTTTTTTTTTTTGAGACGGAGTTTTGTTCTTGTTGCCCAGGCTGGAGAGCAATGGCACGATCTCTGTTCACCGCAACCTCTGCCTCCCAGGTTCAAGCGGTTCTCTTGCTTCCTGAGTACCTGGGATTACAGGCGCCCACCACCATCCCCAACTAACTTTGTATTTTTAGTAGAGATGGGGTTTCTCCACGTTGATCAGGCTGGTCTTAAACTCCTGACCTCAGGTGATCCACCCACCTCGGCCTCCCAAAGTGCTAGGATTACAGGTGTGAGCCACCGCGCCTGGCCAGAGCATTTCTTTTTGAATAGGGGCTGCAGAGATGGCTTGGACATCCTATGTAACCTCAGTGAGTGGTGGTGGGGTGGGGGTACAGATCCCTTGAGAAGTGCAACCAGGCTGCCAAACCTGCTTGGATTCTTTTCCTGTTTCTTAAGCTGGAGTCCACAGACCCGTGATTTCAAGGGGTCAAGCCCATGAATCCTTTGGTATTGAAAGCAAAATTGTGAATGTATCTGCTTGCTTGAAGATTTATATGAACACAATTTCTGGACAGAAAGTGCATAACCTTCTCTAGAATTTCAGAGCGGTCAATAATCCGAAACAGGCTAAGCCTACTGATCTAACCCTCCTTTTGGATATCTTTCTTGTATTTGCAGGTGGAAAGCAGTGACACGCCAAAGGACCCTGCGGTGACCTCCAAGTCCCCATCCATGGCCCAGGACTCAGGCTCCTCAGAGCTGTTACCCAATGGGGACTTGGAGAAGCGGAGTGAGCCCCAGCCAGAGGAGGGGAGCCCTGCTGGGGGGCAGAAGGGCGGGACCCCAGCAGAGGGAGAGGGTGCAGCTGAGACCCCGCCTGAAGCCTCAAGAGCAGTGGAAAATGGCTGCTGCACCCCCAAGGAGGGCCGAGGAGCACCTGCAGAAGCGGGTGAGTCCTCAGCACCAGGGGCAGCCTCTTCTGGGCCCACCAACATACCCTGAGAGTCAGGGACTTGGGTCTCCAGCAGGTCCCAGGAAGGATGGGCTGGGTCATGGCTAAAGGTCTGCTTGCCAAGGCTATGGCCTGGAGGCTACTGGCTGGATGCAGTCTGCACATATGTTTTATTTGGCCCATAGAGTGTTTTAAACATTTAAAAAATTAGTTGCCAGTATTTAAAAATCAAAAAATTTCACATAAAAATCTGGAGTTTTGGCTTCTCATGAAAAAAAAAAAAAAAAAGCTAGATCTGGCAACAGTGGGCTTTCGTAACGCCAGCGATTGCTAGACTGGGATAATGGCTGTCCCTCCATCGCCTTCTGTGGCTGGTTGTGGGCCTTAGTTTTCTGCAGCTCTGCCTGGCCTGCTCACTCTCCCACGTGCCCTGCAGCTCCTGGGGATTGCTGTATTTGTAGTCCATGGCCTGGGTACTCAAGGGCAGCAGATACCCTGTTTGCCTCCCTGAGTGCAGAGGTCCTAAGCCCACCCTAGTTGGGCTGACTCGACTGGAAATTTGGTTGTGACAGTGGCGTGGGGAGGGGGCGGGGTGAGGGTATTCTGTGTAGTGCCCAGTCCAGGCCTCTTCATCTGGGGACTTTTTGGCCTAACCCTGGAAGCCTGGAAAGTTGCCCACTTTTCTCTTTCAGGTTAAGCCAGCAATTTCAGGGCCAACCGAGCTGTAAACATGTTAGTAATGAGGACAACTAGCATTTGTACAGGGCTTCACAGTTTACAAAGCGCTTTCTCATACATTATCACATTTGATCCTCCCAGGGCCCTGCCAGGTTGTTTTGCATATGTGCATTTTAATTTCAAAAAGTCTTCCTTCCAAGCGTGTATGATGGAATGAGTAAATTGATTAATTGGCGTAACTTATTTTGCATAGATCCAACCTAATGTTCATGCAGGATAGAGAACCAGAATACAAATTTTCAAACTTATTAAGAAGCTTTTATTCATTTATTATTCAAAAAAGATGTATGATGCTCCCACTATGTGTAGAACACTACAGAGGGAATCTGTATTAGTTGTTTTATTTACTCCTCTAACAATCTTATTCAAGAGATATGATTATCCTCATTTTCAGGAGAAAAATATTGAGGCTTAAAGCGATGATGTGACTTGCTCATGGAGCCCCAACCTTAAGTGGCAGATCCAGGGCTCATTCAGTCCTGGTCTTGTGCCTTTCTACTATTTTCCACTGTCCTGGAATGGGGCTTGGTGCAGAGACGGGTCCTGGACTGTCTGATACTTCCTGGGAGTGGGAAGGGCCTGAGAGGAATGAGACAGATGAGGAAAGGGAGAAGACACCATTCTTCCCATTAACAATGCCAGGTGTGTGAGAGAACCCATCAGCCCTGCCCTTCCAAATGTGGTGTTCCTCACGGGCTGACTGCAGTTGACTTCGCTTCCCAGGACCCCACGATGACTCCTGCCAAGCTGCTACCCAGGGTCATGGCATTCCTTCCTGCCCTGCAGCATGGAGCCATAGCCCCAAAGCTGTTCTCTGGTCTTGAGGGTTTATTTTCACTCTGGGATTTCCCTGCTTCCATTTCTAGTTGTTCTCAAGGGCTCCTGCATCGCTCAGTCAACAGGTGTTTCTTAAAACACCCATTCAGGGTGTGCTAGGATCCATACCAGGGACTAGGGAAACTGTTATGAACAAAAACCTGGTTCTTGCCCTCAAGGACCTCACAGTCAGCTGGAGAGACAGACATTAATGAGAAATCCACGCTTAAAAAGATGGGATTACACATGGAGATAAGCGCTCTAAGGGAAGTGAAACATGTCCAGGGGAACTACAATGAAGAACCTGAGTTGGCCTGGGCTGTCCAGCCTGAGCTGAAGGGCGAGGGAGTCCATTGGGTGAGGGGTAGAGGAAGAGAGTGAGAACAGGGAAGAAGGCTCCCAGGTGGGAGGGAGCAGGGCACCCAGCAGACTGACAGATGTCACAAGGCTAGAGTGTAGAGAGCAAAGGAGAAGGGTGTGGAAAGTGCTGGGGCAGACAGGCCAGGCCTTCAAGGTGGCTGCTGGGGCTGGGG